CTCCCTCCCTCCCTCGAAGGGCGATGAAGGGCCAGCGGGCCCCTACGGTCCTCCAGGGGAAGAGGTAAGAGGGGGGAAAGCAGGTTGTGCTTCTGGAGGGGGGGCTGCCTATTGCTGGGCCACGTGGGTCCCGACCTTGAGTTTCACCAGTTCTCCGCTTACGGCCCCATCCCAAGTCCCCTCCTTGCAGGTGAGCTTGGGGACCGACCGCCCTTCCAAAGTTTATTCCCACGCCTTTTGCACAAGGCTGGCTCAGTTTCCTGCCCTTGATGATGCTTTGCTTCGGTTCGAGGTCTGCATGCAATTTCTTTCTTTTTAGGGTCCCCACGGCCAAAAGGGGTTTCCTGGCAAACCGGGCCCGGAGGGCTTAAAGGTAAGGAGGCCCCACCATACGGGGTTCAAATCTGTTGTGAAAATCTCACGGTTTTGCTTTTCACAAGCTGCAAATCTGAAAGGTTGCATTCCACCCCTCCTTGCCTTTTCACTCACTTTTCTGAAACGTTTTCCCCCCCTTCTTTTTGCTCTGGAAATTCTGGCTCACGGTGGTTTCTGGGGCAGAAAGAACGATGCACATATTTTTGCAAACCACAGCAAATTTTATTATTAACCAGTCCCCCTTGCTTGTTCTTTTCTTCCGAAAATTGGTTAATTGTTTGATAGAGGACAGCCCTGTGGAGAGGGAGAGGAAAGGAGGAAAGCCATAAAATATTATGCAGTTGAAAAAGCTGCTACAAGCTGTCGAGGTCCTCCCACCCTTGCCCCAAACAAACGGCTTAGAAATGCCACATGTTAACGCACCTCTTTTTTTGAATTTGATCTGAAATTGCCTCTTTTTTCCCTCCCTGTTCGTCTTTGGCCTAATTGGCTGCAGTATCACTAGACAGTATTGGTTTCGCCACTCCCTCCTGCCGGCCATTCTTTCAAAAGTTGCTTTTTTTTTAATGCACTTTTGAAGCTGAGACATCACAAATGTCCACAGTCCAGGAGTAACTTTGCGATGCAGTATCTGAGAGAAGGCAGCTGCTTCTGACCCAGACTTTTTCCTCACCCCTCCACCGCACCACCCCTCCATTTCCTCCTTGGATGCTGTTCCGCAGCCAAAGCTCCCTTTCCTTGTATGTTTCCCCCCTGGATGTCTTCTCTTTCTCCATTTTCCAAAGTTGGCTGGGCCGGATGCATTATGGCATAAGGTGGCTAGCTTGGGTTTGCTTGAATCAAACCCATCCTGGCTTACGCAGCCAACCAGGCTTATACAAAGAGGGGCTTAGTGTCATTTGCAATCCATCCTAGCCCCAAATCGGAACAGGGCTGAAAAATGCAACTATGTTTGAATGCAACAATTGTGGAACAATTCAACAGTTTTTCAATTCAACCACTGTGGAACGATTCGACAATTTTTGAATTCAACAAGTGTGGAATGATTCAACAATTTTTCAGTTCAACCCTGAGCCCTCGTGGGAATGTCATGGCCTTTTGCAGATCCCCAGAGGACCCAAAAGTTTGGCCCCTGGCTCTCAAATGTTACCCACTTTGGGCTGCACTAACTGATCTTTACTGCCCGCTATTCGTTGCTTGTTCAGTTCAGATGTCACATCCATCTGTCTCTGACTGGGGCATGTCTGCCAACAATGCCAGGCTTGACATGAGAACGTAAAGCATGGTTTACATCAATCAATCACCATTCTGCGTGATGGATAAATTAAGCAACTGATTTCTGTGCATTGCTTTGGCCCTGTGGTCAAAGATTTTGGACCAGAAATGAGAGGAGTGAAACAGTCTTTTTAACCAAGTTTTGCCTAAGGGTTAAATGTAGATGCCTTCAAAAAAAATCCCCTTATTTAGGTATTTGTGGGAGAAATTATAAATGCTCCAAAAAGACCCACAAAGGAAATTTCAGGGTGAGGGGGTGCCCTTTCGGTTGCAGCTTTTTCATTTTTCTTTTTTAAAAAAGCCCCAGATATTTTTGCATGCACCAAACACCAGGCTTTGCTTGAGAGGCTCTCAACAGGGCTGTTGAATTAGCTTCCCTGCTACATGTCCATCATCAGATTTTTACAGAAGTCTCAGTTACTGTTAGTTACACGGTTTAGATACTCAATAAAGATGGAGGAAACCCATCTGTGCAGTGGGAGCAAATGGCCTTGTCTGGAGAGGATGAGACCTTGAGAAAAAAACAGTCACCACCGTGGGAAGAACTTTTGTGCAGCTGAAGACAACTGAATGCCTTCAATTCCTATTTGTTCTGCTACCCACAGTCTGTTAGGACGTGATCTGAGGTTAATCCATTAATTAACAAGCTTGAAACAAACCTAAAACCATTCCTCTATGGGTTGCTTCTTGTCCTAGTTCTTTGCAAAATTTAGAGCCTTCCCCAACCCGATCCTCTCCAGATGTCTTGGATTACATCTCCCATCATCCACACCCATTGGCCTCCCTTAATTGGTTCTGCTGGGATGTGTAGCTCCAACATTTGAAGAGGCCCATATTGGAGAAGACAAGGAAGAAAGAGAAGGGAAATGAAAAGGGGGAGATTAATGAAGTAGGCAACCTGGTGCCCCCCAGATGTTTTGAACCATAGTTCCCATGAATTCCAGTGAACATGCTTCTGATGGGCTTTGATTTCAAAACATCAAGGAGGCTCTTGGTTGCCCACTTCTGTAGTATGAGAAATCGAGTCTTGGAAATAATGAATTTGACTTGAAATGGAGTGGGGCAAACTGGATAAATTAAGATTTCATGGCCTCATCCCCGTAGAATGGGACTATCTCTGGGTTTTTTGAGGGCAAATTAAGAAGTTGATATGCACCTTGCAAAACTGCAAGGACTGTGTGACTGGCAAGCCATAAGCAAGAACTGGGATTCTTCTCTGCTTTGATGCAGGGTGAACCAGGGAATCGAGGACAGCCGGGGAAAACTGGCGATGAGGTAACCCTCCTTCACTTCTTTTGTCCTTGCTGACTGAGCAGTGGGACTTCCTTTGTCTGAGATAACTTTGACCACTGCTGGCATCTCTCTTTCTGGATTTGATGTCCCTCTTTGGGTAGAGCAACCATTCCCCAAAGGGTAGAAAATCCTATTTCAGAGATGTTTATGTGCCTGAATCACCAATGTTTAAGTTACGTGGGAGCAGAGATGGAAGGACTCACATATAAGAAAGCATTAGGATTATTTTCAATGCATTTAATAGTTCTGGACCTGGATGAATGCCAGCGTGCCTGAATGATACCAGGTGGGGCTCACAGGCCAGTTTCCATGTTGGTTGCTGTTCCAACATAGTTTTGGCAACTTCTGTGCTTTGCAATGCCTGGTGAGATTCTACAGGAAGAACCCACTACTCTGGGAAATTTGGGAAGAAGAAAGAATCAGACTCACCCCCCCTTTAAATATATCCCAAATCGTCAAACTGACCAATGTGGTGTGACCTCAAAGCTTCCATATGTTTATCTCATCCCTGGGTGACCACATGGGACAGCATTGGTGGCTTTGGCGAGACCAATCTTGGTCTCCTCAATTGTTGGCTAAGAGGCCCACAACCTCTCCTGAAAATCTCTTTCCTAGCTCTTTCCTTGGCAGTTATTGCTCTGCACATTTTTATTATTATGGTCTAGTCTAGAGCCAGGCATGCAAAGGGACCCTTGAAACCCCCTCCTTGTGGGCAGAAAAATTGAGAGGATATTCAGTGCATTATTTTTCCTCTGGTGGAGGAGAAATTCTCCAGATTATTTATTGAGGCAACATGTGTTGATCAAGACTCTTGGAATAGTCTCCTTTTTCACCTAAAACTTTTTTCAAAACTTATTTTTGGACGTGGGCACCAATGACAGTAGAAGCAATGGTGTTTGGCGGCCTGGTTGCCATTTTGTATTCTCCACAATGTCCAGAAGAAATGGTAATTGCCTTCCTCCTTGTCTTGGAGAAACGTTTGGGGAAAATCCTGCACAATAGCCTTCTTTTCCTAGAGGGGGGAGAAAATCAGGGGATCCTACACATTTCCTTAGGAAAATTGAGAAACATTGCCTCAGCTGAAGTTCTTTTAATCCTCTCCACCAGAGATCCCAACCCCCCAGTTTCTGTAGGAAAGGCGGTAAGGTCTGTCTTTCTTCAGCGCTTATTCATTATATGAATTTCACTATTTGGATTTGCCATCGCTGAACAGCCTGGAGCTACATTCCACTCCACTGGGCCCAGGTTGAGAATGTGAGTTGATTAGGGGACCTGGTTTGTCGTTGGTTGTTTCTTTTTCCCCTTAGTTACTCCAGACATACTCTGAGCAGGAAACCGTGGGTCCCCGTGGGATTGAAAGAAAACACAACTGGTCCTTTCACCACCATTTGCCAGTGACCCGGGCCAGATGAACGTTAGGCTCTCTTATTTTTATTCTGCTCATTTCTGCCTAGAAATACTGCCATGGAAGATTTTCATCTCGTTGCCAATTATGTCATCAGCGAAAAAACCCCGTGCCAGCCATCAGGGAAAATTCCTTCCTCTTCTCCCACTCCACTTCTCACTCCACGGCAGTCTTGTGCTTGGTTTTAGCCATGCTGGAGGTTTGGAGAACATCAGCATCGAGATGCAATTTCCATATATATAGGGAAAGTCATATTCCAGAGCAGGGTCTTCAAACTGTGTTCTGCAGAAAGGTTCCATGACATCTGAAGGGGGTTCCATGAGATGTTGGAAATCCTGACTCTACTTGTGTGTGACACAGTCCTGCTCGCGTGGCATCGTTGTCCCAACCCCCTGGAATTCTCTTCCAGCTGCCTCCTCCAGGTTTAGATTTTTGGCAACTGCAGTCTTGGTTCTGGGGCCAAAGCAGGATCTCCAGCGCTGATCTCTTACTTCTTGACCTGAGCATCACACAAGTGCCTAGTCTTCATGGGTCTCAGTAAAGCACCTTTTTCTGCTTACGAGCGTCAGAACTCATCCAATTGGGTTGCTCTCCTCCTGCGTTTTGCTTTCGCTCTAAGTTGGGAGGCGACTGGAGGAAAAGGTCGCAGAGGAAGATCCTAAATGTTAGCGCTCTCTCTGACCTTCACATCATGGGGTTGTCTGTAATTTGTTCCTGCGTCGGAGTCCTTTGTCAAGTGTTGAGCTTCAAAGGCCCACGTGTGGTTTTAAAACAGAGAACAGCTGCTTGCACTGGGGAGGCCCAATCCATGAGCCAGGAAGACATTCTGGGGGGTTTGCAGAAGATGCTGGTCTAATTGGCCAGCAAGGAAAACTCTCCCTCTTTCTCTGCTGCTTTGAAGCAAATAAATTCAGCTTTTTTCTCTCTCTTTCCAGGGTCTGATAGGTTTCATCGGTCCAATAGGGGAGCCTGGAAGTGTCGGGGAGAAGGTACGAAGAGGTGGAAGATGGTTGTAGAAGCAGCATTAAGCTGAGAAGACTAAGAGCCCTCAGGATTTTGGGGGGCTATCACACACAGAAAATCCCAAACTAATTCCTTGCAAGTTCTGATGGTCACTTTTGTTCAGACCTTCAGTCATCCCTCTGCTGTATCTTTGCATTGGGCACCATGAGTTCCTAGGAAAAGACTTGATTGCTTCCAAGAGTTACAGACAGGTGCTATGCTTGCCCCTTCAAGCAACGTTTCTCAATTACTTCAGTCCTAATATTTATACCCTGCATACACAATTTACCTCCACCACTTTTGTCCTCCCAGCCAACCTGTAAGGTAGGCAAGCTTGAGGAATCACAATTGGCCTGAGTTTGCTTCAAGCAAGCAGTGCTGAGGGCTGATGGGTCACCCAACCCTATGACTTCTCTGCAATGACATGGCACGTGTTTTGTGAACGGAATGGGTCACTTCTGCTTCTGTGTACAATTCTGTCTCCTAGGGGGACCGGGGCACAGTTGGATCACCAGGACCGACAGGCATCAAGGGGTCGATGGTAAGGAGTAAGTTGCATTCTCTCTCTCCTCCTCTGCCTTGAGAAATGGCATCCTGCGTTCTCACTACTATTTAGATGCCATTTGCTATTCTACTCAGTGACGACTTCTTCTTCTTCTTCTTCTTCTTCTTCTTCTTCTTCTTCTTCTTCTTCTTCTTCTTCTTCTCCTTCTCCTTCTCCTTCTCCTTCTCTCTCTCTCTCTCTCTCTCTCTCTCTCCTCTCTCTCCTCC